TTTTTTTTTTTTCTATTCGTATTTTTATTGGAACACATTTTTCTTTTTGCGCGTTTTTGTTTTTTCTTTTTCTCTATTTTTCTTCGTTTCTTTCTTTTTTTTTTTTCGTTAGCTCGTATAATATAACAACGCAACTGGCTTTCACGTTGATAAACTTTTTTCCACGTAAATAACGTTTTTCAATCGCGATTTTGTTTCTCAAAGGGGATTTCTAGCTAGATCAAATCTATCTCACCGAAATTGAACTTTGCGTATCGTATTATATTTAGTTAAAACGTGTACAACGTGTGCATGCGTGCATGCGTGCATGCGTCTTTGCAATTCCGTAAATTTCATGCAAACGTAAAATTATGGTTGAATACAAAATTCTTCGCAATTCTTATTGCGTGTTGTGGAAGATACGTGAGGTTTTGTAAAACACATGTTTTGTAAAGCAATCGCATAATTCTAATCATTACGAACGAATTTACAAACATGAAAACAAAAAAACAAAGTAAAAATTGTATTCCAATTATTGTTCACTTTTGATGGGACTCTTGTTATGCTTAATAAGAATGTATCAAAGTGAATTTGGACATCAAAAAAAAGAAGTAGAACTTAATTTTATTAAGTTGAACGTTTCGTCCACTTTATTGGGACTTCTTCAGCAACTTGAAATTTTATTTTATTGTTATTTTTTTTTAAATTAACGAAATACAATTACAATTACAATTTACAATTTAAAATATTACATGTTACATGTAATCTTTTACAGTTCAGCGTCTTTTTTCTTTAAGTAGACATACATTTTTATTTTTATTTTTAATATTCGAAACACAACACATCTACACACTTCGTTATGTATTCGTATTCTTGTTACGTTTACACATTTCTTTTAACGATAAATCAATAACATAGGAAAAGAAAACACACGATAAGACTTGGAATAAGGAAAAAGTGGGTTTTATCGTTAATTTGTATTTGTTTATTTAGGACCGATGGTATTTTGTCAACTTTAATCCGTGCAGGAACTGAAACACAGGATGATAATAAACGTTGGTACGTTTTCGATGGTCCTGTGGATGCAGTATGGATAGAAAACATGAATACCGTATTAGACGACAATAAGAAACTTTGTTTGACTTCTGGTGAAATTATGAAGTTACAACCAACTCAGATAATGATTTTCGAAGTTGCTGATTTGAGGGTAGCTTCGCCAGCCACAGTTTCGAGGTAACATGATATTTATTGTATACGTTTCAAAGAGTAATTGTTATACAATGTGAAATACTACGAAATTGTCGCGAAATAATATTATTACACTTTGATCATTTATAAAAATTGTTTCATTAAATAACAATGTTTTAATCTATTTTAAATATTTCACATTTTCAAAGTGTAGTAATGTTTTTTTGTTAGACACTGTTGTATTGGGTTGCAACACCTCTACCGGTTTATAGAATATTTATCATCGAATAAATGAAACATTAATCAATTTTAAAAATTAAAAAATTATAGAATAATTATATTTATTCTATTATTTATTTTATATTATATTATATATTATTATTAATGAAGTACAGGTGTGTGTGTGGGGGGGGAGGGGGGGGTGGTCATACGACAAATATATTTTACGATCGAATATATCATTTAAGATAATATTTATCCAAGAATAATAATGGACAATATACGATTTATAGTCTCGTATCGATTAACGATCAAACAACAATGAAACGCGAGTTATACATCAATCATCATTGCATATAATGCGAAATATTTAAAAAAGGAATAATAAAAGAGATGATTTATGTGCGACGTGTTAAACAACGAGGATGATTAATGCAATTGATTGTCATAGCGATAAATGAAATTAGATAATAGATAAAATATGTTTTTTTTTTCTCTTTTGTGTGAAAAAAAAAAACATCGTAGGTGCGGTATGATTTACATGGAACCCGAAGGTCTCGGATTAGAACCTTTAATTAATTGTTGGATCAAATCATTACCCACGGTAAATTTTTGTATCATTTTTGTCTCTTTTTTTTTTTGTTTCATTCTATTTTCACATTTAATAATATCTAGAAAAACTTATTAATAGAAAAATACATTATTGTGTTTTATCGTATTAAAGACTATCCAGGATTACGTGGCAAAAATAATGAAATTGACGAAAGAATTATTATTACCTGGTATAAAAATGTTGCGAGAACAATTAAAGGAAATTGTTAGTACTGTTGATTCAACGATGATACAATCTTATATAAACTTAATGAATTATCGAATCGGACCAATGACTGGTCGAGATAATAAACCACCTCCGTCTTTTGTTTTTCAAAAAACCATACGTAAGTTTTACGATCTAATTCAAAAGGATAATCTTTGTATTTATATTACAAAATATAATATTAAATTCTTTTTTTTTATTTTTTTGCACACTCGAGTGGAAACGCGTATAAATAATTGAACAATTTATTTTAATTGAAAGAAAATAATTATTGTCGATTTATCCTTGCGTTCTTTTTTTTTTTATTTATTTTTCTTTTTACGATAGCTGATTTATTATCACCGTGGGCAGCTTTTGCTACAGTTTGGAGTATTGGTGCAACTTGCGATTACGATAGTCGTTGTAAATTTAGTAACTGGATTCAAAATGTGCAGAAAAATTTTCAACATGAGTTACCCTTTCCGGAAGACGGTTTGGTATTCGATTATAGGTATTATACATTTTATTATCATAAATACGTGTGATTATATACAATACAATACGTATTTTAAACATTTTTTTCATTCGTTTTTATTTTGAAAATAAATTGTAAAATTTGTATAATTCTATTTATACAAAATAGTTTTTTTTTTTCATGCAGATTTGATTTATGTTTATTTAGGTTACACGATGGTGGTTTTACTGATCCTATAGAAGGACAAGATCCGATTCCACCGCATTGGATTAAATGGTCAAATGATATGCCAATCGTTAAAATAACTCCAGAAACTAAATACGCTGGTAAATCTCACTATGTCTGTATTATATCTTTTATAAATAATAATTTTATATATATACATATATTTCCATAGAGATGATTATTTTTAATTATACACCTGTTAACGTTTTATTCTTGTTCATTTTCTTTCTTTCGTTATTGCACATAAACCGTTCATGCAGTTAATCGATTAAATCCAGGATATAACAAAAAAAAAAAAGTTTAAACAAACTTATGTACGTTGTTATATATATTTTGTTGTTATTAGTAAACAGCTATAGAGAAAATTTATTTTAATTAGGCTTGTTAATATATAATTTTGTTTTTTTATAATTTTTTAATTATTGTATATGAATATTTAAATTATTATTCTTTTTATTTTTTTTCCCCTCAGATATTGAAGTTCCCACCATGGATAATATTCGTCATGCTACTTTGATCGAATATTTATTCGCAAATAATAATAATATATTGTGCGTGGGACCAACCGGAAGTGGAAAGACTATGACAATTTCGACGAAATTATCTAGAAATATGCCGAGAAAATATATTTGCGATTTTATTATTTTTTCCGCTAGAACTACTGCCAATCAAACTCAAGTAAGAAAATTTATTTTCATTTCTTTACTTTTTTTTTTATTTATTTATTTATAAGATTATATATATTGTATATTAGATGATTCGGAAAAGTAATTAGGTTTCTTTTTAGAGGTATGGTTTTTCAATAGTTTATATATTCTTTTGTAGGATTTAATCGATGGAAAATTAGAAAAAAGGCGTAGAGACGTGTACGGTCCGCCATTGTTGAAAAAACAAATATTTTTTATCGATGATTTCAATATGCCAGCACAAGAAGTGTATGGGGCTCAACCACCTATCGAATTAATACGACAATTTATGGATTTTAGCGGTAAGAAAGAATTGTCTGTGTGTGTGTCCAATATAATATAATATATTAAAAATAAAATTCTTCTAATAATAATCGAGAAATATTATTACAAATTGTTTTTTTGATTTTTAAAATTCTTTTATAAATAATAACAAATATATAATTAATTTGTGTATATACTCAAAATCGAATAATTATATTTTATTTATTAATGTAACAAATTTTTAATATATACCCGAATTAATTTAAAATTTTGAAAAAATCGATAAAACCAACTGGAATATTAAAAATCAATTATATAATACATGCAACTAATAAATAATTCATATTACAATTTTTTTTTGAGCAATATTCAAGTATATTTTTCCAAAGGGGAAATAATTTATGTTACGTTCCCCCCTATTTCCTCGTATTGTAAGTTATCGATTCGATTAAATAAGTATGATGGAAAAATAAAAAAGAAAAAAAATACAATGTTCTCCATTTCCTGAGATTTACAATGTTATGTGAGTATACATACGTGAAAGATAAATGAACAAAAGTTCTTCTTTTTTTTAGGATGGTACGACAGAAAGGAAATCGGTAGCTTTAGACTGATTGAAGACGTAAATTTTATTGCTGCTATGGGACCTCCTGGTGGTGGAAGAAACCCAATAACCTCTAGACTTTTACGACATTTCCATTTCATTGCATTTCCAGAAATGGAAAACAGTGCCAAGGTAAAATTTATATTATTAACATATACTTGACATATTTATTATACTAAAGGAAAATTAATATTTGAAAAACAAACACATTTTTAAATAGGATATATATATATA